GTGTCCGTGCCCATGGATGGTCTTTTAGGTCCCTTCCAACCCAAACCATTCTATGATTCATTATGTGCTCATTCACTTCCAAAATCACCAGGACATAAGATCAAACTCTGAAATACAAGCTATTGTCTTATGTCCTGGTGATTTTGGAAGTGAATGAGCACATAATGAATCATAGAATGGTTTTGGGTTAGAAGGGACCTTAAGGACCATCTAGTTCCAACCCCCCTGCCATGGGCAGGGACACCTTGCACTAGACCAGGTTGCTCCCAGCCTCATCCAGCCTGGCCTTGGATACTTCTAGGGATGGGGCACCCACAGCTTCTCTGGGCAACCTGTCCCAGTGGCCCCCCCCCACCTCTGTGGGAAGAATTTCTTCCTGCTATCTACTCTAAATCTCCCCACTTTCAATTTAAACCCATTATCCCTTGTCCTGTCACTACATAATAATGCAGTATTCCTGACAAACAACATACATAAAACTTCATGTTAATGTAAACTGCCTCTTGGTTCATGGTCACTGGAAGTATTTGATTTACAAAGCCATACCTAGTTTTTCTAGGCCCACCCTAAGTGATTCACTGAAGGCTAGTGTTCGCAGAAGCACGCACAGTGTAATGTATAGTTCTTTGTAATTTATTGCCCCTTAGATAGAAACCTAGATTTGCATGGATGTTTTTTGCAGTTGGGGGAAAAAGGAAGCTAGAGAAACTAGCATTGTTTGTCTCATGTAATGAGAATATGGCCCAAAATACAGTATTGTCTGGAGAGGCTACACACTTGCTGTCTTCCTGAAAAGCTTAAGGCAGTGAAGACATAACAAATATGTTCCATCTATTTTCTTGATCAGCTATCTTGGCTCTTTAAAACTGCATGAATATCCAGCTGCTTTGCTGGAGACCTGAAATATTGTAGGTTGATGAAATGGAAATGTGCTGTTAATGAACAATGCTAATTCCCCAGCTGGGATCTAAGTAGACCTCTCATCTAGCTAATTGTGAGAAAAATGCCAAGGCTTACTGATGATGTCGGGGGGGTCAAGACCTCAATTTCATGTGTCATTGGAGCTGTTCCTCTGCACACTGGGGCCAGTGGGTTGGGGTGTTGGTTTAGGAGTAACTGAAGGGTAATTGCAGTCCTTTGAATCACCTGCAGCTATGCGTGCCCAATGCTGTTCTGTTGAGGTGGGAGGAGAAACAGTTTGTGTAGCTGAGAATGCTGCGTTCCTTGACCTGGGAAAATAATCTTTGATAATACTTTAAGAGATGTAAACGTAAGTGTAGTTAATGCGTGTGCTTTATACAACCTTGAGGTGTACTGCAGCTGTGCAAAGACTGTTGTGAGCCTCTTGTTTCTCTTTGAAGAAGCTTAGAGCACAAATGCTGCCTAAAGAGGAAGTACGGATTCTTGGTCCTTCACAGGGATAGCATGTAAACAATAAACATACTGATTTTTAGGCCTTTCATCAGAAAGGGCAGAGAGAATATTATTTCTGCTCAACACATAACAAATACCTTGTGCTATCCCATATTCATGTTTGGCCCAATGTGATTTCTTCTCAAGCTATATGGAAGGCTGTAGTTGGCCAAAGTGCATATGTAATGTAGGTATGAGCTACCACTCTCAGTGCCATGCAGCCTGATTTTATGCAACCGTGGTCAGTTATTGCACAGTATCTGTAATACTGTGTTCAACCACACGATGGCGCAACAGGATACGTAACAACATTATTGTAGTCAGCTTGAACACGGAAAACATGCTTTCCCTGTTCATATTGGAAAAAAACCTTAAATTACAACTCTAATTTTAGATACCACCACCTAGTGATTATCCTGTGCGCTTTGAGGCCATAACTCAGCCCTATCACAATTCTACAGTAGTAGGATTTTTATAATCTCGCTGAATAATATGTAACTGGCCTCACATTCCCAAATGATGCTGTGCACCCCACTGGTGATATGGGAAGGAATTTCCAGTGGAGAGCAGCAGCTATTGCTGACCACGGCGTGAGGACATGGACCAAAGCCAAGAGGCTGTGCCCAGCCCTTGGTGTGGGGCAGGACTGGCGCCCCACATTGTGGAAAGGAGGTGAAAGGAGAGGAACAGCAGGTGCGACCCTGGTTTGGACAGGAGAAGGAAGCAGAGGTGTGGAGGTTTATCTCTTCCCATTGGTGCGTGTAATGGCACAGGGAGTGCTTGCCACCAGCCCCTGCTACCACAGCCCGCATGGCAGCTGCCGCTGGGATCCAAGCAAACAGAACCAAACCCTCAGCTGCAGGTTGTCATGAAAAAACTGCTCCATCTACGTGTGTGTTTGTGGTAAACATTCTTGACCTTAAACTACCAAGGAGAATTGAAAATGTTTATGTAAATGCTATTTATAGAAAATGAAAACATGGAATCTAATTTCTTCCCTGGAAACCCTGTCCTAGGGGATGTTTCTTCGTCCCCTCACACTGCAGCGTTCGCCTCTTCCCACCGCGACCCCATCAGGACGGCACAAAGCGCTCTCAGACACGGAGCCTTTAGGATCTGCTGGCTAAAAAGGAATTTTTTTTTCCCCCGCCATTATCCAGAGCTCTCCCCACGTCAGCGGCTGGCACGGCACCCGCGAGGCGACCCGCAGGCCTGCTGTGGCTAGCAGCACCCCGGCTTGCGTGGGGAGCGCCGGGGCTCCGTGGCCACGGAGGGATGGGCACTGCCAGGCCCTGGGGAGTCCTGGGCAGCCCTGAGGGCATCCCCAGCCTAACGGGGATCGCCCAGG